GCTCCGGACTCAACCGGGTTCTACAGCAATATCTTCCTGGTCAGGAAGAAAACCGGGGAATTCCGACCCGTCATCAAACTCAAGGAGCTCAATTCCTACGTGGTGTACCGCCACTTCAAAATGGAGGGTATCCATCTTCTCCGGGACCTACTGCGAGACAACGACTGGTTCACGCGTCTAGAGCTAAAGGACGCATACCTCACCATCCCTGTGCACGAAAGGAGCCGCTCATATCTCCGCTTCTACTGGCACGGGACACCTTGGCAATTCACCTGTCTCCCGTTCGGCCTCAGTTCGGCCCCATGGTGTTTCACCAAAATGATGAAGCCGATAATGGCGAGACTGAGGGCCCAAGGCATAAGATGCATTGTCTACCTCGACGACATCTTGATATTCAACGAGGATGCAAGGACCCTAAAGAGGCATACAGACTACGCCGTACACCTACTCGACTCACTGGGTTTTGTTATCAACGGCCCCAAGTCATCACTGACTCCCGCTCAGTCGATCGAATTCCTTGGGTTCTCAACATCGTGCACTCTACGCCTTTCGGCCGCAAAAATTGCCACCATCCGCAGAGAAATTCAGAAGGTACTTCGACTGACATCCATACCTTTACGACTACTAGCACGAATCGTGGGCCTTCTCTCGTCATCCATCCAGGCCATCTTTCCTGGACCCCTGCATTACAGAGCCATGCAACGCCTCAAGACAAAGTTCCTTCGCAAAGACCCAACATGCAACCAACCGGTCCCCATGTCGGACGAGGTTCGGGAGGAACTGCACTGGTGGCTGAACTGCATGCAGGCTTGGAATGGCCGGGCGATATTCGGAAACCAACCAGACTTCATATTGGAGTCAGACGCCAGCCGCTCAGGTTGGGGAGCAACAGACGGCACCTCCTCCATGGGGGGAGTGTGGTCTCCCCAAGAACTTTCGATGCACATCAACTGTCTGGAGCTCCTGGCGGGATCATTCACCATTCGCAGTCTGGCAAAAGAACGACCAACTGCTGCATCCTGCTCCAGATGGACAACGTCTCAGCTGTAAGATACATCAACCGACTCGGAGGCACCCGCTCCCAAGCACTAGTAGAACTCACGAAGGAAATCTTCGATTATTGTCTGCCTCGCAACATCACGCTGTTAGCGGAACACCTACCAGGAGAAACCAACACGACAGCGGATTGGTACTCACGCCACTGGAGGGACACCAGCGACTGGCAACTAGACCCTCACGTTTTCACAATTCGAGATGCACAAAGGGGCCCCTTCTCCCTGGACTTATTCGCCTCCCGCAACAACCATCAGACGAAGAACTTCTTCAGTTGGCTCCCAGATCCAGAGAGTCTAGCAACGGACGCGTTTCTGCAACAATGGCCACAACACGGGGCTTACGCTTTCCCTCCATTCTCAATGATTACGAGGGTTCTCCACCGAATCCGCATGCAGAGGGTGATACTGACCCTCATCACGCCTCTATGGCAAAGCCAACCATGGTTCCCGGATCTTCTGGAGCTATCGAACAGGGATCCCCTCCTCCTACCAGATACTCTGTCCATTCTCAGGAACCCGATGGGACTAACCCATCCGCTGGTCCGGGAGGGCCGACTCCCCCTGGTGGCCTGGACTCTTTCAGGGGTTCCTGGCGAACCGAGGATTTATCGCAGGAAACTAGAGAGCTCCTATGGGACTCATGGGCGCCAGGAACAAGGAGGTGCTACTTATCAGCATGGCACTGCTGGACTACTTGGTGTCTGGGACGGGATCTCAATCCCTTTACGGCACCTATTCCCTCCATCATGAATTTCCTCACCTCTCTGTTCACAACCGGGAAGTCATACCGGTCCATCAACGTGATACGTTCAGCCATCACAGCGGCTCATACACCGACTCAAGGGACACCAGTGGGCCAGAACCCACTCATCTGTAGACTCCTCCATGGCATGCGCCTTCGGCGCCCCCCAGAACCCAAATACTCGAGACTTTGGGACGTTGGCATAGTCTTACAGTTTTTATGGGACTGGCCCCCTAACGAGAACTTATCACTCTGCCAGCTTACGGCAAAGTTCACCTTCCTACTCTGCCTAGTCTCCTTTCGTCGGGTGTCCGATGTACGCGCTTTTGATGCCGACGCATTTACCTTCTGCCCAGCAGGAGTAACCTTCCAGATCTCTAGACGCACGAAATCTGACTCTTCCTCTGTTTTTAACCCCTTTTTTCCCTCAGACCCACAGCTCTGTGTGGTCTCTACTCTTCGTCGATACGTGGAAGCCACCGCGACGTTGCGGCCTACTTCCAATCGTCAACTTCTCATCTCTTACGTCCGCCCCTATGCTCCAGTCTCGGTTACTACGTTGGCCAGATGGGTTAGATGGCTATTGGCCCTTGCCGGGATAGACCAGGCTTTTGGAGCACACTCAGTCCGAGGGGCTGCGGCCTCTTCCGCCTACGCGGCGGGGGCCTCCCTTCCAGATATTTTACGAGTGGCGGACTGGACCAGAGAATCCACCTTTAGGACGTTCTACTTCCGTCCTCCATCTAATCCAGCTTTTGCTCTACTTTCTCAGCGTTGAAATTGCAAAATACGAAGCCTCCTGTCATGTGATAAAATTGAAGATTATGCTAGCTTCAGTGTACAGATAATCTTAATTTTAATAATGACAGGAGGCGAGTATTTTCCCTCCCTGCTCTCTTTCGCTCTTCCCCCCCTCTGTCTTCATCTATATTTCTATCTCTTTATTCACATGTTATTTGTGCTAAATGCCTAAGTTGTTTCTTACAATTAATACAGATATTCCATATGGGTGGGATGGCTTAGTTAGCATCAATAGATGGGAGGAATGTATTTGCTCTATTGCAGTATGATGGTTTACTTAATCATAAGGGATAGACAACTCATTGTTTTACACAACCATCTCCGGAATCGAATACCCTTTTACATTCTCGTTTCAGTTTAACCAGATGAATCAGGACACTAAAGACTTCCTTCAAGATATCATCATCGTCTTGTCATGGAAGATCGTCACTTGACATCAAGAACTCTTCCCTGTCAAGAATTCTTCATACGTTTATGTTCTATTTTCATGTTATACATTATCTGTATTGTTATTCTGCATTGTGATCTTGTGATGTCGCATGCTTTAAAGAGGAAATTATGTCATACGTTACACCTCTTATACTCTATACTGCATTGTGATTGGTTCTCAGTTATGTCACTCTTTTCTTTGCTGCTATGGAGTTAGTAAAGAAAGATTATGCAAAATACTCGCCTCCTGTCATTATTAAAATTAAGATTATCTGTACACTGAAGCTAGCATAATCTTCAATTATGACCACATTTTAACAGAACACTTTGATAAATATCCCTCAATCTATTTCTAGAACCCTAATCACTACGGCAACACATTTACCCCTAACCTTCTTACTAACAAATATCATTGAGAAAATTGATCATTCGGTCCATGAATTCAGTTCCATGTGTATTCATAAATTGTTCCAATAAATGTGGTGGCAACTATGGTAGTTTTTTTCATGTTTGCCATGCATAGACATTATGAATATTAAGGTTTAATTGACTATTATAGTGTTTTATACATTCTAACATAAGCAACACAAACTATTTGCTTTTGTTTCCAATACAAAGAATTCATCTCCTTCTCCCCAAATCAAAAGTCCACAATTTAGTAGTATAATTTCCATTTTCTTTTCTAGCAATTAGTGAACAAAGTAAATCTCACTACGGCTATTCATTATGGTGCCTACCAGTATGGAACTGATCACTCGGGCAGTCAGGGGCCTGGCCGAACATCCCAAGCCAGAAAGCCATAATAACCGTCAGAGAGACAACATTCAGTAAGTATGCTTCTTGTAAATATTTTCTACACCTGCACCTATTATGGCCTCTATGCCCCCCCTGCACCTACTACAGCCCATATATGCTCCCCCCCCCGTACCTACTACAGCACATGTATGCCTCCTGAACCCACTACAGCACTTGTATGCCCTCTGCACCTACTACAGCCCCTATGCCTGTCACCAGTATCTTGGATCTTGATATCCTACTGCCTTGTGAGAGTATGCAAATAAAATAATTGCAAATAAAAATGCTAGACGCCTTCTAAGTTCGTGATATTAGTGGTAATCCTAGGTAAATGCACCTTTTCACTAGACTATCGAGTTTATTTTCTAAAGTGAGAATTCTACGTGAATTGAATTCAAATTGAAGATCAAAATAGCCAATCTTGAAACATTCTATGAATCTGCTTCAAATAAGCTACACATACCTTACATTTGAAATTCTCTTTGAATTCTTACCTTAGTAACTGACCCTGCCAATTTCAAAATCACATATGCAGAACATTATCTATAAAATACAGCCTTTATCTATTTTGCTCGTTCCACTGTGCCCCTCTTTGGTTCTATCTTCTTTTCCTTGTGCAACTTCAGCTGCCAGGAGCCCAGGTCACTGGTATGCACTCTGCTCTCAGCTAGCACTGATTCAGAAAATGTCTCCAAATATGCTATACATTTTTCAATCAACGTCATGTACCTGATTTCCCATTAACAAAATGTAACCCTCAAAGTCTTTCTCTGCTTTTTCAGATACATGAGCATGCATTGCACTCCTTCGCACTTCTTCCTTGACATACTGTATGGACCTTTTCAAAGACGATATATATGGACCCTGTTGAATTGGTCCATAAAATGAAACTTTTTTTGTTCTGGCAACTAAGAGAGCTGCAGTGAATTAGCTTCATGAAATCTTTCTATACCACCTTATGATTTTTATTTTTTGCACTACAGTCTTGGTTTTCCAGCTTTATTACAGAAGTCCTAAAATAAACTGGATACGTAGCATGATCTACTGTACTTACCAGAAAGCAAAATAAACTTACTGAGGGAAAAAGAATGCTCATAGCTCTAAAATGTGTTGTGACATATTGGATAGAAGATATATTGCTTATTTTTGGTGAGACAATGTCAATCTCTATGTATTATGGTCCTTAATGGAACAATTTAATGTTATAAATGTATTTATAACATTAAGGTGTTCTTGGTGGTAGGCATATGCATGGGAAAAATTTTCGGTTCGGCATTCCGAAATTCGGGACTTCGGCTCTTCGTCAACTTCACCACTTTGAAACTTCGCCACTTCGGAATTTCGGTAACTTTGGCACTTCAACACTTCGGAACTTCGGAACTTCAGCAACTTTGGCACTTCGACACGTCGACACTTCGGAATTTCGGAACTTCTCTTGCAGCCTCTTGGTAGATAACTCCCTAATTCCCACGGTATTAGGGAGTTATCTACCAAAAGGCTGAAAGACCTAAATTGGTCTTTCAGTAAAATTTACTAATACTAAGTAAAGATTACTTAGTATTAGTAAATTATGCCCCTACTCGCTATACCTCGAGTAGGGGCATGTCTATTAAACAGTGAAACCTGAAAAAAAAATAAAACTCACCATTTGATGTTTTCTTTCTTCTAAAATCTTCTTTTTTTTCAGCCCCCAAAAAGGCCAAATGAAAAGCCATAATAACCGACGCACTTTAAAAAAAAAAGAGCGCAAAAAAAAAATAATCCATCTTCACACGGTGAGGGCTCCGTGCAGACTGAGCTCTGCAGGGCAGGGCAAGGCTTGAAAAGCCTTGCCCCACCCTGCAATTAGGTTCAGAGCACTCTGACTGGTGGGTTTAAGCCAACCAATCAGAGTGCTCTGACAGGTAAATGAAGAGACTGACAGGTAAGTCTCTACATTTACCTGTCACCGCACTCTGATTGGTTGGTTTGAAATCCACCAATCAGAGTGCTCTGTGTCATTTTACACAGCGTGTGAAAGTTCTTTGGAATTTTCCCACACTGTGTAATTTGACTCATAACTCTCTGATTGGTTACTTAATCCACCAGAGAGTTATGAGTCAAATTACACAGCGTGGGGAAATTCCAAAGAACTTTCCCATGCTGTGTAAAATGACACAGAGCACTCTGATTGGTGAATTTTAAACCAACCAATCAGAGTGCTGTGACAGGTAAATGTAGAGACTTACCTGTCAGTCTCTTCATTTACCTGTCAGAGCACTCTGATTGGTTGGCTTAAACCCACCAATCAGAGTGCTCTGAGCCTAATTGCAGGGCGGGGCAAGGCTTTATAAGCCTTGCCCCACCCTGCAGAGCTCAGTCTGCGCCAGGTGAAGATGGATTTTTTTTTTTGCGCTCTTTTTTTTTTTTAAGTTCGTTGGTTATTATAGCTTTTTATTTGGCCTTTTTTGGGGCTGAAAAAAGAAGATTTTAGAAGAAAGAAAACATCAAATGGTAAGTTTTTTTTTTTTAAGGTACTTAGTTAAATGGTCCCCCCTCATTATTTTTAAGGTGAGTGGGGTAGGTAGGGGTAATTTTTTGGGGGAGGGGGGTGACTAGGGGTTTGGGAACCACTAGTCACCCGTAGGAGGGGTGGTTAATTTTTTTATTTAGGGCCCCCACCCACCGCTCAGGGGTGGGGGCAAGGGTGAGGACATTAGGTCCCCCCTAATTAGTATTTTAGGGCCCCCACCCACCGCTCAAGGGTGGGGGCCAGGGGGGAGGATATCAGTCCCCCCCAATTAGTATTTTAGGGCCCCCACCCACCGCTCAGGGGTGGGGGCCAGGGAGGAGGACATTAGGTCCTCCCCCCTCATTCTAATTTAGGGCCCCCACCCACCGCTCAGGGGTGGGGGCCAGGGGGAGGACATTAGGTCCCCCCCAATTAGTATTTAGGGCCCTCACCCACCACTCAGGGGTGGGGGCTAGAAGGGAGGACATTAGGTGCCCCCTTAATTAGTATATAGTGCCCCCACCCACTGCTCAGGGGTGGGGGCCAGGTGGAGGACATTAGGTCCCCCCCAATTAGTACTTAGCGCCCCCACCCACCGCTCAGGGGTGGGGCCAGGTGGGAGGACATTAGGTCCCCCCCTAATTAGTATTTAGGGCCCCCACCAACCACTCAGGGGTGGGGGCCAGCCCTTATTTTGATTTAGGGCCCCCACCCGCCGCTCAGGGGTCGGGGCCGGGGGAGGACATTTGGTCCCCCCCCATTACTTTACTTTAGGGCCCCCACCCACCGCTCATGGGTGGGGGCCAGGGGGAGGACAATAGGTCCCCCCCTTATTTTACTTTAGGGCCCCCACCTGCCATTCAGGTCCCCCCTTCAGGTTAGGAGGGGGAGGGGGATGTGTTTTTTGGGGGGGGTTTACATTGAGCAGCCACAGGCTGCTCACTGTTTAATAGACATGTCCCTACTCGCGATATAGCGAGTAGGGGCATAATTTACTAATACTAAGTAATCATTACTTAGTATTAGTAAATTTGGCTGAAAGACCAATTTAGGTCTTTCAGTCTTTTAGTAGATAGCTCCCTAATACCGTGGGAATTAGGAAGTTATCTCTTATTCATTCCTGTCATTAAATTGACTGGCCAAGTAACTTACATTTTACATGAATGTGTGTTACTTGATTGTTGTAAGTGTTGCAAACGCTTACAGCTGAATCCTGTCTATGTTTGTATACTTTTTATTTAAAATAGTATACAGTGAAACATTCTTCTTCCACTGGGTAAGTATATTAGTACTTAGGCAATACTGTGCTTCGGAACTTCGGCTCTTCGACACTTCGGAAATTCGGTAATTTCGGAACTTCGGGACCTCGGTAATTTGGCACTTCTGCTATTCGGACATTCGGAAGTACCCAAATGTCCAAATTGCCCGAAATTCGTCCGAATTCATATTCGGCCCGATACGAATTGCACATGTCTACTTGGTGGCTTTGGATTACCGAGCCCACCTTTTACAAATAAAAATAATAAAGTTATACTCCCCTTTCATCCAGTGGAATGCTGGTTTTGCTATGGGCAACATGGTGTCATCTTTTGATATCACCAATGCAGATGACCTTGAGCCTATCCAATGCATCTCATGGAGAGCAATCATAACATTGGCTAATCAAACTATTCTCAGAGAAGTTATTTTACTGCATTCAACATCATTATGACACCGAAAGTGAGTGCTTTGAGAAAAGGAAGTGTTGCCTATACTGATTGAGTTGATTGCTGTTAGATTTCCAAAATATTATGTAAATTACAGGGAAAGAGAAGGAAATGAATGAAGAGTACCACAAACTCGAGTTCCAATGTTTCTTTATTTTTTTTTTTTGACTGGACAGTGTTTGGCAGTAATGAAAAAAATACAAGAACAAGTTTTACATTACAGAGCGGGAATACAAAATATTCAGCTCACTTTTATGTACAAAAAATTACACTGATGAAAACATGTGGAGTAATGATTTTATTATGCTTCAAACATTGTGTTTACATGTTCATGTGAGGACTGTTCAATATTGCATTACATAATCATTTATACAGACTTTCACAAATAAACAATACTATCTAATACTAACAAGTGTTTATGAGAAATGTGTTTGCAAGAGTTCAGGGATCTAATAAAAACATAACGTATTAAATTTTAGACCATGTGTAAGACTGCCAGGTAGCTGTTTAACACATCTACAAATAATTCTGTTAACAAAATACACATTTTCTGATTTCAGCCCTTTATTTCTGACCTTCCTTCAACTTTTTGAACTAAAATCTTAGTACAGAAAACCACACTGTTGTGGGTTCTTACAGGATATTTTGTAGGTTCTATTATTTAACCCACTCTAATCCTTCCGATAATGCAAGATAGACATATTTAGGGTTTTCAGGTACTCTTGATATGTATGAATATGTAGACTTTATACAATTCTTATTCTCTTTAAATATACATAGATATTTTCTCTAAGTAAGGCAAATACAAAGTACAACCATTATAAGTAATGCGTTGTGTGTGAAATATTAACACAAACAAACAATATTATGTCAGGAAATCTATGATGTGCAGAGGATGTCTGTCACGTTATTGCCTCATCCTAACCACTGCAGAGTTGCAAAAGTACAAGCTGACACTCAACAAAACAATGTATTTTTAGTCTTAAATCTCTTAAATGATCAGAAATCTTACACTTATTTTTAAAAAGTAGCCTCTCTTGTATCAATATATATATACAATACACAAGATCCAGTGCACTCACTCATCCACTAAACGGCAACTTCAAAACTCAGAGATTTTATTCGTTTTTTTAAACCACCTAATCTATGCAAAAATAATGGGGGTTTAGTTACATTATATGATCATACATTGCATAAGCCTGCCACAACGTCAATGTACCCCATCTTTGGCAGGTCCTACTCTAACAACCTAATGAGATTAACCCACTTACTTGGGGGGAAAAATTCCATTTGGGATTCTCTGCCATGCAAGGCTGAATAGGGCCCTGGAATGAGGCACATGTGACAGGGATGGGCGCAAAACCAAGGAGTAGGCCTAAACGCCCTATCACAGCTGCCTCATTCCAGGGCCCTATTTAACCTTCTACTGCAGAGAGCCCCAGGTGTAAATTCCCCCCCCTCCCCCCCTCCAGTAAGTAGGTTAATGGGTGTAACTATTATGAAATTTAATATAAATGTGTTGTCATGGCACATCACATTTTTTATCCCAGGTAGGACAGACAATGGTGAAATAGAATACACCGGAAACTTTTAACTTTCAGTCCCCCGGAACTGTTCCACATTATTTACATTTGTAGCCGTCATTTCTTTAGTGCAACACACTTATTCAGGTATTACCGGTACTCTTGCAGCTCCCGGTTCAGGTTTTTATGGTGAAGGGACACGGATAGGTTGAGTAAGTAATTTAATTAATTGTTTGCATTATATATATATGTTGTACCTTGTCTTTAAAAGGATCGAAAGCAGGTCCGAAATGTTGACGCTAAACATATAAAACCGACTATTTTTTCTAATTAACTAAGACCTATGAGTGCCCACTGTCTTGTTTATATATTTTGTTATATACTGGTTCCAGCGGCAATACAATTTTGTTTTTTTTCTAAAAGGAAATGGGATAATAGTGAGTTCCCTCATCCTTGCATCATTATATAATTATTATTATTATTTTTAATTTACAGAGAACTCCCCTTACAGTGATGTCCAAGTATTTGGTCTCCAAGTTTCATTGAGATACAGTTCCATTGGTGTGAGTTTCTGAACTACAAATTATATTCCTGGTTTGACACACGTAGATGGAGAGGTTGCAATGGGATAAATTACCATGAAAACCAATTGAATCAACTGTAACATTCCAAGTATTTACATGTTATTGATACACTTTTCTATTAGCGACACTTTTGTAAGGTCTCCTAGTTTGCAATATAATCCATACATGTCATTGTACTATGGATACATTCTGTATCCAATCACAGACATTCAACACAATAACAGCGCCATCTAAATCAGACATATTTGAGCTACATGAGAGGTGCAAAAAAGAAAAATATGTGACTTCATTTTTTATCATTTCTTATGACCTGTTGAGCAACATGTACCATATAACAGTCACCTTGTGCTTTCATAGAGTAAGATGCATCCCGTTTATGGACAAATTGGGTACTTTCATGTAGGATTATAGTAAAAGGCATTATACTGGTTTTCATAGTTACTATAATTCTATCATAAGCACAAAAATGTATATTGATCTTATAATTCTTCTAATTTAGTGCATACTTGGTTCTGGCTGTTACTGTTGCTTTCTGAATGTGTCTTCCCAGTAGGTAATGAGGGTGCTGAAACATAACTTCTAATCATGCTTAAAATCCTATTTCTATATCCTTTAAATGCAAAAAAGTAGATGACAGGATCAAGACAGCAGTTTAGGTTCATAAGTGCTACCGTGATCTGCAGGGACATCTTGAAAGCTTTGTTCTCAGAGCATGATGGCTTATAATACAGCCTTTTCACCATGAACTGGGTAATGTTTATGTGGTAAGGTGAGAAGCTAAGCACAATGGAGACCAGGATCACCATGATAACAGTGAATGCCGTCTTAAGATGACCCTTTTTATGAATTACCTGGTTTTCTTTTACTGTTTTGCACAACTTAAGAGTGATTCTCAAATAACACAATAAGATAACTCCTACCGGAAAAAAGTAGCTGACAATGCAAGCCACCAAGAGAATAACTGGCAGCTGAGGAATAGTTTCAAAGTTGAAATATTCCATGCAGGTCACTTTGTCTCCGATAACATTCGTCATAGGAATAAAGAGAAGTGGCATGGTCTGCACAAGTACAAGAAACCAGACAAGTGGGCATACATACTTAACAATGCGATCTTTCCTGAATTTACCAAATCGCAGAGCATGTACTACGGCTATGTATCGGTCCACACTAACGCATGTCATAAAATAAATCCCAACATAGGTGTTGGTGTAAAAAATGAATGCAGTAATTTTACACATGGCTTCCCCAAATGGCCAATTAAAATCCAGTATATAATACGTGATGCGCCCAGGGAGGGAAAGAGTAAAAAGGGCATCAGACAATGCCAGGTTGATTAAATAAATGTCAGTTGAGTTGACTTTCTTTCTTCTTTTGATGGACAGGTGAAGTGCCAGAATATTTCCACCAGAACCAATTATAAGAAGAGCAAAGTAATACACAATAAAATAAATTTTTGCTGTGGAGTCATTGCTGTGAACTATGCAGTGGGTTTCGTTGCTTTCTGTATTGTTACTCCATTTGGCATCCATACTGCTCTTGGAAATTTTATTAAATCTGGATGTAGAAAACAAAAATAGATTTAAGTAAACAGTAAAGCTAGTAAACTGATAGCAGATACAATGTTTGTAATGAATCTGGTCCTATTGCAAGTATTTATACAGTGAACTATGGCCCTGCAAATTCTAAACACAATAGAACTGTGTCAGTGGGTCATTGATAAATGATATCAATAGATTATCATTACATGCCAAAAGAGTAAGAGTCATATTTAAAAAAAAAAAAAAAGCACCTAAGCGGGAGAAAGAAACTCATCGGGTTGCTGGCTTTCCATTCTGCCTTAAAGAGACACTATAGGCATTAAGACCACTTCATTTCATTGGGGTTGTCTTGGTGCACTGTTCCTGCCCTCCTTAGTCCTGCAATGTTTACATTGCAGAACTAAGACTTTATCTAGCGACGGTCTACCAGATAGCCACTTCCTGGAGTATCATGGAGCCACTTCCTGGAGAATCATGGAGCGTGACACTGTGAAACAATGCTGGACGTCCTCACACTCTGTATGAGTATGTCCAGCATCAGAGAAGGCATTGTGCACATTAGGTCCCCCCCATCAACTGACATCGGAGAAGGTGGACGGCAACCCAGAGCTGATGGCCATCATCGCTGGAATTGAGTAAGTGTATAAAGAGTTTTTTTAGCCCTTTACTTCTCCAGGGGGAGGGGGCTAAGGAACATGGTAGTGGTAGGAATAAATCTTTGTATTCCTATCACAAAAGTTTTCCTTTAAGCTTGAAACTAAGTTTAAATGGGTAACAAATAAGATTCAACGCCTAAGGGTCAAAATCCTCCATAAGGATCAAGAAATGTCAAAACTTGCTTTCAGTTTCTAATGTATTTCTCAAGCTTTTAGGAAAATAATAAGGCTCAAAAATAATGTGTGGCTCAAACCTTCTATGCCATGCGTGATTAGAGAAACGTGATCTGTGACATTATGGATAGATCACATAACTGCTTTTTCTTTCTTTTCCTCTCTGTCATTCTCTTTTCCTCTTTCTCTACCTCATCTTTTCTCATGCTCTCTTTCTCTTTTTCTCTCTTTTATGTCTTGCTTTTCTCTCTGTCTCACTCACTTTTTCTGCTCTACTTTCTTCTATTTCTCCATTGAACTCCTGCAGTACACTTTAATTTGCATGTTTTGTGTTGTTCACATTTAATAATTAGATTTTTGGAATGACAGGTCTGTTTGCATCTGCCATTTCAGAAATCAGTTAGTTCAATAAAAAATGTATCACTGCAATTTGTATTCCATTTTTTAAAAAGAAAAGAATAATTGAATGCATGCTACATGGTCTATTAAATATCATCATCCATTAAAACATTTCAGATACTTACTTGCAAAGCCTAGAAGATCTAAGCTTGCATGGAGTTCTCTTTGTAAGGTTTGTATCTGAAGTCTCTCTATACGGCTCACTGAAGCAAGTCTTGCAGACAGAAATATAAAGAAGCCTGATTAAAGAGAAAGAAATTCAATAATTTTCATTTATACAGTGAAAAAAATAATCAAATGGTAAAAACCACAAATGCAGTTATCTGTGAAAACCTATGCCTGAAAAGACTTATCAGACACATGCAGCTAAATTCAACAGAAAATAAAAAAAATCTGTCAACTGATTATGTAAGATAAAGTCTTGACTAAATTCAATGTGATAGTTATGTTTACGTCTGTGGCAGAACCACTGCCTATTTGTGTGTTTTCCACAGTTTTTTTGTGTTTCCCTATGTATTTGTGTCTTATATCCTATTTTCCTGTTTCAGCACAGGAACCTTGCGAACGGAGATTGGTTGGGAAATGTGCCATTGTGAGGTCGGTGGCCTGAGGTTGGTGGGGACACTTTTGGGGCACTGGCTAGTTTGGCAGAGTTTTCTGTGCCTGGGAGACAAAGGGACAGTCTCTTTTCCCACGCCTTGACTCCCAGGCACAGAGGCTCCTAGGATGAAGACCCCTCTGTCGTCCTGTGGCAGGCTTTCCACGTTTGGGAGACATAGGAACAATTTTCCCGCGCTTGGGCTCCCAAGTAGAGAGAACCCTCGGATACAACCCATGTTTGTGTATGTTAAAGACCCTTTGCATGGGGCTCTGCCAAAAAGCCTTGTGTGACTCAATAAAATTGTGTTGTACTCCCAGAGCTGTGTCTCGCCCAGTTACTGGGGGGAAATGGGTCTCTTATTATTCTACGTAGTTCCTGAGCGGCTGAAAGAAGATATTAGCGGACATAACCGGTCGGGTTACCCGAGGTCCGCTACAACTGGTGGCAACAGCGGGATTGTACTTCCCAGCTGAACGGAACCAGCATTTGTGAGCCAAATTAATCCATGGACAACACAAAATTAAAGAGACAAACGTTACAAGAGTTGCTGGAAGCCAGAGGGCAATCAGCTGGCAAGAGACCCAAGGCAGATCTAATTGCCACCCTCATGGAGGACGATCTGCTAATGGGGAAATGGGGCAAACCTCACACAACCCCATGAATGGCAGGCAAGAGAAGTGTTCCCTGGGGGTCCAGCTGTTGCCGAACAAAAGCCCAAGTTGCCCTACAATGCTTTTAAAACTTTTGCTGAATCCGAGGAGGGCATTGATGACTTTCTGCAAGATTTTGAACGTCTATGCATACTGCATTGTGTGGCCCAAGCAGATTGGGTTTCCCTGTTGGCAGGGAAGCTCACGGAAAAAGCTGCAGAAGCATAACGGGCTGTGCCTGAGAATGAGCTGCAGAACTATGCTGGGGTGAAGCAGATCCTGCTAGCAAGGTATTCAGTGACCCCAGAGGCATACCACAGGAAATTTAGGGAATTGAAGTCAGGGGAGAAGGATTCCCATGCAGAGTGGGCTTGCCGTTTGACATGGGCAGCCCAAAACAAGGTGCAAGTCCCCAGAGGAGATCATCCAACTGTTCCTGCTGGAGCAGTTCTACAATGGCCTGTCCACCAAGGTGCAGGAATGGGTGAAGGACCGGCACCCCCAGACTTTGATGGAAGCAGCACAACAGGCAGACGAGTATGTAGATGCCCGCCGACATGCATGTCCCGCTCTCGCTATCAACTACTGACCCCTGGTACGCACTACCCTACTGTTCCCTCCAGGCTCCACAACCTCAGCCCAAAGCCTACCTCCCCCCTACAACCCCAGAGGGCACCGATCTGGGCAGCTATCCAGTGCCATAACTGTTTCAAATACGGGCACGTAAAGAGGGATTGCCATCAGCTGAGGGGCCGGTCCCAATGGATCCGTCCAGTGCCTCCTCCTGCCCCGAGAGCCACTGCCCACTGCTATCAGGCAGCCCCCACGAACGCTCCAAACCCCAACGAGGAAGGATATATTCTGACCATTGTGGACTTCGCTACTCGGTACCCCGAGGCAGTTGCCCTGAGCAATATTCAGGCAGAGAATGTAGCCGAAGCCCTTATGCAAGTGTTCTCTTGGATGGGTTTTCCCCAATAGATCGTCTCCGATCAGGACTCCTAGTTTACTGCCGAGATGACCCACCAACTGTGGAAGTTATGCGGCATTAAACTGATCTTGAGTTCCCCTTACCACCAGGGCCTTCTTTAACGTGGGGCAAAAGGGGCAGTCGCCCCGGGCCCATTTATTCCTGGGGGGCCCAGAGCAGCTGCCCCTTGAGCCCCGCGGGTCCTTTAATTTTTCATCGGATCGGGTCCCTTCCCATGCGGGCCGTGGCCGGGCCCCTATTATTTTGTTTCCCTGTCACAATGATCCCCCATACCGGGCCCTTCTGTGTGTGTTTCTCTGTGGGCTGCGGGCGGGCCCCTCTCTTTTAGTTTCCCTGCAGCCTGCGGCCAGGCCCCTGTGTCTTTGTTCCCCCATGGCCAGCTAACAGAGAGCCACGTGGGGAGGAGGAGGAAGAGCAGGAGGCAACACACACAAAGGAGGTATTCTGAGTAAAGCTGACTCCCATCATCTTAAGTCAGCCAGCTCCCACCAGACCACAAGGAAGCCACACTCCTGCAGCAAAAGTAAGGAAACATAAATTGTTGTTTATATATGTACCTGTGTCTGTGTGTATGTGAGATTGTGCATATCTGTATGTGTATGTGTAACTGTGTGTTTGTGTACCTCAGTGTCAGAGTGTATGTGTACCAGTGTGTCAGAGTGTATGTGTATCTGTGTGTCATAATGTATGTGTGTTTGTGTGTCTGTGTACCTGTGTGTCAGGGTGTATGTGCACCTGTGTGTATGTGTACCTGTGTGTCAGTGTGTATTTGTACATGTGTGTCTTTGTATCTGTGTGTCAGTGTGTATGTGTACCTGTGTGTCTTTGTATCTGTGTTTTGGTGTATGTGTACATGTGTGTCTGTGTATGTATACCTGTATGTATGTGTACTTGTATTAGTGTGAGTGTACCTGTAAGTCAGTATACTTACTTTAGTGCGTATGTGTATCTATTTGTCATTGTTTTCTTGCTCCTGTTTATCTGTGTGTTTCTGAATGTGTGTGCATATCTGTGCATGCTGCAGTGCATTCATCCCAGGATTTCAATGCCAAACACTGTGCACAAATACACCCCTGCATGTGTACCTGTGTGGGTGTAAGTGTGTATCTGTGAGTGGCAATACATACGCCCCTGCATTCCAATGCCAACACGGCACACATACACTCCTGTCACTCTCCACACAATGCTACCCCTTTTAGCCTACAAAACTCACATTAACTCCCCGAATCCTGTCACACTCACCCTCTCTTGCTCTACCACACTCAGAAGGTGAGTGTGACAGGATTAGGTGGAATAATGTGACAGAATAATGTGAGTGTGACAGAGTTGGAGGGGTTAATGTGATTGGGTGAGTGTGACAGGGTGGAGGGGTGAGTGTGGCAGAGCAAGCAAAGGTAAGTGTGACAGGATTAGGTGGATTAATGTGATAGGGTGAGTGTGGCAGAGCGAGAGAGGGTGAGTGTGACAGGATTAGGTGGAATAACCCCCTTTCACCCTGCCACCCTCACCCAATCACATTA